TTCAAACGCTTAAACACTCAGACACGCATATCATCGAACGCTCAAACATTTAACAGCTCGATATTCAAAAGCTTAAATACTCGAATGCACAAATCATTAAACGCTCAAACACTCAACAGCTCAAAGATTCAAACGCTTAAATATTCAAGCGCACAAATCATCGAACGCTCAAATATCCAAACGTCGAAAATCTCGAACGCTCAAATACTCAAGCACACAAAATCATCAAACGCTCAATTAGTCAAATGCTTAAACACTGAAATACTCAAACTCTTATATATTTATCGGACAAATCATCAAACGCTCGAACACTTAGCAGCTCAAATATTCAAACGCTGAAATTCTCAAACGCTTAAACACTCGAACGCTCAACCAATCATATGCTCGAACACTTAAACGCAGAAATTCTCAAACGCTCAAATACTGAAACGCTTAAACACTCAAACGCGCGGATAATCAAGCGCTGAAATTCCCAAATATTCGACAACGAAAGACTTAACTCTAAAAAAGGCTTACCATAACCAGTTCCACATTTTTAATTTAGAAATGATTTCTCTAAAGTCATTTTTAAGATCGTTGAAATTCTAGAAATACTTTCGTGCACTACCACGAGATTACTGACATCAGTCGGTACATCTGCTCTGTTTGGAACGTTTCCATGATCTGTCAGGAAAGACGCTTCTCCTACAGCGTTCTGTTGTTCGATACTAGATAAAGATATTCCCCTATAATTGATCCAATCTTTCAGCAGCCAATTATCCCCATCGGAGCGCAAATTGCCAACAGTTTCGCGGCCGGTGGAATTACTTAACGGAGAAAGAAACGAAGAAAAAGAGAGAGAGAGAGAGAGAGAGAGAGAAAGAGAGAGAGAGAGAGAGAGAGAGAGATAGTAGAAGGCCTTTATTAGATTCCTCCTCCGCAGGATGAATTATCGCGGCAACGTTCGCTGTATGCAAATTGAAAAAGATAATGGCCACGGGGTTCGCGAGTGTCATTTCGATCGGTGATTACGCCGCGCAGTCATTACCGACGGATCACGGTCGTTCTCGAATCGTTGCGAACAAACCATTCGACTGCATAATCATACTTATTTCCTGGAGGAATGCGAAAAAACAGGGAAACGCATTAGAACCTAACAATCGGGCGAAATTAGAGAATCTCTCTTTCTCCCGATCTATGGATAGCATTCAAATGATCCTGTCTAGGCAAGCACCGACAACGATCACTATAGTTTCCATTCATAGTTCTCCGAAAGCAATTGACTTTATCCGTAAAATATTCCAAGCGTCGGATCTACGTGAAATACGGAAATGAAAACGATCAACTTGTTCCTTAATTTTAAAATCATTTTTATCGAGCACTATTCGATCGACACAAAATGCAGTTTGTTGGGTGCATTTTTGCTGCATTTTATTACCGTTGCATTTACGTCGTGTCGTTCCACCTGAAATATTCTAGCTTTTAAAAATGCTTAACTTTGAAACCATTGTTCCTCAGTAGCGCCATGAAGATAATCCATCGAAATAAAATGCAGTTTATTTAGTGCATATTTGCTGCATTTTGATACAATTGCATTTGCATTGTCCGTAAAGTCTGTATTCTTTCGTCAAAGGTATTCTAGAGTCGACAAATTCTCGACTTTGAAATGATTTAATCGAATATTAAATGAGATAATCGATAAAAGAAAAGTGCAGTTTATTAAGTGCATATTTGATGCACACATGATCACCGTAGCATTTATATCGTCCTTTCGAATAAAATATTCTGGCCTCGAAGATTCTTCAACTTTAAAATAATTTAGCTTTAGCACCACGTAAAAATATTTATTTTAGACGAAATGCAGTTTATTATATGCATTTTTGCTGCATCAGACAGCATTGTCATTGTTCGTAAAATAATTATCCTTTCGTCCAAAACATAACCTCGGAAATTCTTCGCCTCTAAAATAATTTCTCTCGAGCGCCGAATGCGGTGCACGAAAGAAACGATATGCAGTCAGTTATTGGATGCACGTCAGCTGCAACAAGCGCGACTTTTGCGGGCCGCCGGCTGTTATTCCCGCGGAATTCCGCGGGATGAAGCACAGCCGAACGAAGAATTCGGCGCACGCTGGTAGAATGCGTCCCTTATCGACTCATCGTTCGGTTTTTCTGTTTCAGACTCGTGCGAGCCGGTTGCGGACCGACCTTACGGTGAGTGACTCACGATCTCAATCTCCTAGAAATTACAAGCCGCACTTACGCCACCGGAAAAAATACCGCGGAACCTTCTACCAGCCATAGTCAGAGAACCCGGCGTGTCTTCCGTGAAAAAAAAGTCCGGCCACTTATTACGCGAGCGATCCGAGGGCCGTTTCCATTCAGCTCTCGGCCGTTCGCGGAGGTTGCGAAACCGAACGATGTAACGGAGAAACGGTGGTCCACCCGATACTTCTTCTTCGTTCCAGGCCCCGGCTCTCGTTTTCCCTACTTTTTCATCGCGGGCCCCGCGGTTTATGCAAACGCGTAAATTAGATCGGATTCGCGGAACCGGCCGCCGTTCCAGATAGAAAGCTGACTTTGCTCTCGCTTTCGAGCCGCTCCGATCACGATATTTCGTTCCTCCTCATCCTTTTGATTGTTCTTTACTGTTCGCCATGATTTGCGAGAGGTGCGAGGGAACAAATTTTGTAACAGTGTTTTCATTTGACCAAGTTTCTTGCACATTTGGGAACAATTACTGTTCGATGGGAATTGATTAGAACGTCTCTGCAATTTTTACACTTGCGAAAATATGCTGCGATTTTTAATATCGAAGAAGATGATATGAAGAAATCGTGCTTTTTAGGGAATGCAACAGAAATTGCATGCAATAGTATGCACTGCTCGTGGAAGCAGTCTTTTGAAGTTTACAATGTACAGCATGGTCGAGACAGTCCTCGTTCTTCGTGCCTAATCATCAGACAGCGGATTTGGCGCGTTTATGGCAAAAAGACGTTGATATATGAAATTACAAACACTGACAATGCTGTTGCAGAATTTTTAACTCACCAGAATGATTAAAAGAAGCAATTTCATTCGATTTCTGCTCGCAGAAATCGTCGCGTAAAATTGTTATTCTGCTCAAAGATCCGCACTCTATTTAAAAATTCAATCTATTCAATTTTTTGCCATAAATGCATAAAATCCTCACTCTACTTCCGAGTCTAACTTATTCGTGTTTGCCACAAATGCATGAAATCCGCAGTCTACTTATCAATGTAACTTATTCATTTTTGCACATAAATGCATAAAACTCGCGGTCTACTTACAGCGGTATCTCCATTAACGAGGTAATAAACAGCATCGCCGAATAGAAAGATCGTTCGAAAAAGTTCCTGAAAGGAAACCGAATCTTTTAGAACGCAGTTTGAAACGTCGCCTCGCGACGCGCGAGCACCGTGTAAAAAACGGGGCTCCGTAACCGGGAGATCGGTGCGACAAAGACGCGAATCATCCCCGTCTCCGTGTCCAGCAGGCATCGTGATCCCGGTGGCTAATTACTGAAAAAGGTACGGGACAAATCGCATCGGCGGATCCGTAGAGATCCACGGCGATCCACCGCAGTGGGGTGTAGATGTCGGAGTGGCAGCCCGTCTTCTTGTTGACATCAAGGGACGTTAGGGGGCGGTAAAAAGTCGCGCAGCATCCGGTCGTCCGTCGTCCGCGCGAGCAGTCGTAAAATTCAGCGTTATGCGATTCGGGGCCTGTGTTTTGTCCCTCTTTCGAGATTATGATTACCCCGGCAGCGACCGTGGCTAATATCACGCAATAAGCACGCTGCCGCCTCCGAGAAGACGCCGTCGGACCTCCCCCAACCTCGCTGTCTATCTGTATCGGGGAACGGTCTGCCGGCTCCTTTTCCCAGCCACGCTGCTTCGCAAAACTACGCGATCGTTAAATTCTAAGATCGTTCGTAGCCTAGGATCGATCTAGCTTACGCAGCTTACGGTCTATTCGGGATTTTTCTGTTTTCTCTCAAAGCGTTTTCTCTTTCGCGTGATAATTTTGCGTGATCGTTTTCGAAAACGTACGAGTTCAAACGTCTCCAGGTAGCATCGCAAATTTTGTTCGTGTTTGAGACTACGATGGACTTCAAGATCAAAGATTCCCCTTTAAAATGGCACCAAAAAGGTTTATATACGATTTTTTCTTACAGTTCTACGGTACTTTGAATGAATGATAAGAAATAATCAAAGAAAAATGCAGCCGCTTATCGAAGATACAGATTCGCGTGTTTCTAGGGAGCTTAACAATTTTTTTCCATGATCGAAACTAGAATACGCGTCAAGATCGAAGATTCCTCTTTAGAATGGCACCAAAAAGGTCTATACACGATTTTTTCTTACCGTTTTACAGTATTTTGAATGAATAGTGTGCATGATAAGAAATAATCAAAGAAAAATGCAGTTGCTTATCGAAGTTACAGATTCGAGTGTATCTAGGGAGCTTAAAAATTTATTTCCACGATCGAAACTACAATATACGTCGAGATTGAAGATTCTTCTTTAAAATGGCTCTAAAAAAGTCTACATACGATTTTCTCTGACCATTCTACAGCATTTGGAACGACTAGTGTACGCGATCAAAAAAGCAATTCACTATAAAAGCAGTCTCCTTTACCCTGTCAGGTTTCACATCAAAAAATTTATTTCTCTACAGAAGTCACCATAGTTTTAAACACCGAAATTCCCCCTTTATAATAGCGCCAAAAAATCGCGCGTACGATTTTTTTTCTCTCTTCTACAGTACTTCGACCAAAAAGTGCCACTGAGCTAGACAGTCTTTTTTACCGAAAGTCGGAGCTCGCCAATCGCGACTAAATTACAACAAATCATCCGGCCGCATTAAATCGCAGAATTTCAGTAATTGATCGACGCCTCCTTTCGGTGCAATCGAGAGCCCATTAAAAGATCAATTACCCTATCGCCGACGTAGAGAAGCCAGCGATGTTTTCTCCAATGTAACAGAAAAGCCCGACTCGTTTCAAACAGCTTCGGAGATGTTCTCTCGCGCGCCACGAGGTGGCCAGTGTAAAGAGGTAAACTGTGGGCCCCTGGTGTGTCGGGGGGCAAAGGGTCCCATCAAACGAGCCGCGGGGCCCTGCGAGGTCATCCGGACTTTCCTGGAGCGACTTCATCTTCACGGTCTATTCGGCGGACGCCGCTGGAATTTCAGGAGTCGCCGCGGCGAGCTGATAATTTTTATTATGCGTTTCATTCTGCCCCGGGGTTCAACGGCGCGATGATGCACGGGGAATATTTATTGGTCGATCCCGGCCGGTTTACACCCGTCTACGGGGCCCTTATCGGCACAGCGAACGGGGTCGTTGCTAATGCAACAAATTTCGTAACGACCCGGTTCGTCGCTCGGCTATCATCGGACGATAACTAATTCCTTGGCGGAGGGATCGTTCCAGGAGCGTCGTCCACGGCCTCTCCGGTTGTTATTTAAGCAACCGGGATGGCCGATTAAGTGCGTTTATGAAATGTTTCCGCGGCTCGGTAGAAAGACATTAAGCAGCAATTCTCGCGTTACGGCCCCGGCAGCAAGTGATCTTTATGAATTTCTCCGGGACGAACCGTAACAGGTACGGTATTACTCTGTCCCGGGATTAAAAAACACATTCTTAGATTGTAGTTTAATATTCTTTCGGCTCGGCGCATTCCCATTGTATATTAGACAGCTCGCGATTTTGTTAATCTCCGAGCGGAATTTTCGTGCGATGGCCGTAAAAGCAATCTCTTTCTGCGGGAATTGGCGGAGATAGGGGATTCAAGCGAATTGGAACTAAGAAAGACACTCTCTGATTGTAGTTGCATCTTGTTGGTTCCGTTAGTTTCGTCGTTCATTAAATACTTAATTAACTTTGGTAATCAAGCGAGACGCGGTGGTATCGCAATGAAACTAGGCTATCTTTCACAATTTTTCCTGAGAGAATCGATGAAGATAGAAGAGTGAGACGAATTTTAATCAAAAAAGGACACTATTAGATTGTATTGAACTAATTTTTTTAGCTCGATTATGTTTACCATCCATTGGACAATTCCTAATGTTAGTTTAACGAAACAGAGGGGATTGCATCGTAAAGCCTTCGGAATTAGGCTAACTTCGAGAATTTTTTTTGACCAAACTATACGACATAGAGGAACGCACTAAGTTGCGATCGAAAGAGGCATTCTTAAACTATAGCAACATATTTTCTTTGTTCGATTCTTCCCACTATACGAAACACAGTTCACGATTTTATGAACCTCCTCCGCAAGGGATGATTTTCGCGACTGCTAAAAACGAGGCGCGTTCGTCAATTTTTCGAAGACGTGCTTGGCATCGAGCGAGACACCCTTAAGCAGCAATTTCAGCGAGACAACCAGCCCCTAGATGGCACGATAAACATTGCGTTTGCTTACCTACGGCACCGTTTTCGAAGCGATCGTTCTCGATAACCGGGAGAGAGATGATCCCGAGGAGACAGATCGCCGGTAATGCGACCTCGATCGGGCGGTACCCGCTGAGAAGGTCGCTGGTAGCAGGCGTTGATCGAGAGAGGCAAGAAGATGAAGAAGAAGAGAAGGAAGAAGAAGGGGACAGGCTGAATACAAGAGTAGCCTAGTTGCCTGTCGGCGAAGACACCCGGATGATCGAGCGATGTTATTTTAAGTTTTCCGTGGGGGCTCTCCCGCCTTATCCTAATCGGCTGTCAGCCACCCCCGTGTCTGGGGTCGCAGGCCACCCCCGTTTACACGACGTGCCGACACACGCGGGAAGCTGCACGGCCACGCGGACGGAAAACCCCGTGGAAGAGGAAGAGTCGGCGGGACCCCCCGCGGACCAGATTCGCCCCTTTTTGCCACGAGGAGGATTCTCGCGCGGGAGTCATGCCCCTCGAGGGGTTGCCGGATTCAAAACGCTTTACACTCTCATAACCGGGACCTGTTGATCGCCTGGCACCAACGAAATCGCTGCCACCCCTCGAAAATCGCGCTTCGTCAGCGTGCTCGCATACCGCAGGCTTTTTGATCGTTGATCAACCTTGATGTTGCCTTTCAGCTGACTCCGACTACCACTGCTTCTTAGACAGGATGAAGACTTTTCGGGACCTGTGGATCGGGGCAACATTTTATACGGATTAAAGATAAATAATATTTTGTTCGACGCTGTCGAAAATTATTCGA